AAGTAGTAAGTAGTAAGTAGTACGCAGTATGTAGCAAACAGCAAGTAGCAAGTAGTGAGTAATAAGTACGAAGTATTACGTAACAAGTAGTAAAAAGTAAGGAGTAAAGAGTAAGAAGCAAGTAGCAGTTGTAGTGGTAGTAGTAGCAGTAGTAGTATTAGTCGCAGCTGGTGTTGTTGTCGTTGCTGTTGCTGTTGCTGTTGCTGTTGCTGTTGCTGTTGCTGTTGCTGTTGCTGTTGCTGTTGCTGTTGCTGTTGCTGTTGCTGTTGCTGTTGTTGCTGCTGCTGCCGTTGCCGTTGCCGTTCCCATTGCCGTTGGCGTTGCCGTTTCTGTTGTTGTTGATGTCGTCGTTGTTGTTGTTGTTGTTATTGTTGAATGTGGTGGCGGCGTTGATGTTGATGATGTTGATGTTGGTGTTGGTTTTGCTATTGTTGGTGGTGTAGGTGATGTTAGTGTTAGTGTTTGTTGGTTGCTGTCGTTGTCTTCGTCGTGCTTGTGGCTGCCGCTGACGCTGGTGCTGCTGCTGGTGCTGGTTCTGGTGTTGGTGTTGGTTTTGGCTGCTGTTGTTGTTGTTGTTGCCGTCGCCATTGCCATGGCCGTTGCTGGTGGGAAGAAGAGGTGACAGGATGTGTAGATACTGCATCTGAACGCGGAGCAATAGCTATTATGGTTTGTTTTGGTATGGTATTCGTACTATAACAATAAGAGCATTGCCTGTTGCTGCTTCCCTTCGCTGCCCGCTGCTTGCAACTACTCGCCACATAGCATCTGTTCGCAGATCCGCCCTTATAGTCTTGCTACGAAGAACTAGGTCTTGAGTCGCATAGCAAGCCTGGGCACAGAACCCGTACTCAGTAGCTACATGACTCCAAGCCTGCGCGGAAGGATCGGATGTGGCCAGCTTAACGGTGCAAAGCTTCGCGCCACCTACGGTCTTTCAGCTGAATTGACTTGGGTCGGTTGTGGGGTGCTCGGCCAAGCTGCTAGGTCTCATGGCTTGGGGTTCCGGGTGTCAGAGTTTCTAAAGGCTGCAGGGGCAGAAAAATTGCGCCCTTGGATGCTGCCTTACCAATTCCAAGAGCTCCTTGGCTTGCGAGCGCGCAGGAGTTGTAGCCTGTGCTACTGCTCTATATCTATATTCATGTCAGCTAACCTAAACTTGGAAGCAGCTGGTATCACATTCAAGGATCAGGTTTGTGTAGACATGCAGGCTTTCCCCAAATGTCGGCCACATCCTGCCGTTTCAGTTGACAGTCCCAATTTGGTTCGCATCTTTAGATCTATGGGACGGTGCTTCAGGCATCAAGTTCTGATCCAGGCGTGACAGAAGGCTTAATTATCTTAATGGCCTGTTTGTTGGCCACAGAATGATTGCGTGTGGGACTTCTGAACCAACGATCAAGGTCGCCTACATGCTCCCCAGTCTTGTTATGCCCGTGGTCATCTCGGAAATTAACGTCACAGAGACGGATTTCGCAAATGTCAGCAACGACCGGGCCTCAGATGAAATTTACAGCATGCTAGTCACACAGGCTTGCGAGAAAAGTACAAGCAGGCATAAGCAATACAACGCAGGAACTGGGTATGGATGGATTCTTGAAATGAGGTTTGTTGTGCGGTTCTCGAACCATGTTGCATTCGAATGTAGTGGTTCCCCGTCCGCTAGAAACAGCTAAACAGTCGTGAAAACGGGAAGACAGACTTATCTCATCTTCATCATTGTCATCCTCGCTCTGTTCCACCTTTTGTCGGCGAATCAACTGCCTCCTCAAGATGCTGAAATTAATTGTCCGAAGATTCTTGCAGCCATGCATCGTGTCACCGGAATGAGGAAGCATCTCGCAGCCCTCCTTCCGACACCTGGAAGCTTGAAGCCCCACTGACAGCAACTGCCCCCAAACCACTGGTCAGGTTCTCTGGAGGTGCTGAGAGGAAATCTTCAATCATAGTTCCATGCTGTTGGAGCATATCATCCCTCGGAACTGAGTGCGGGGCTCTTGAGGACACTGCGATGACCTCAGCGCCAACAACAACGCATACATTGACCGTCACCAGAACCTCCACGCAGACAGGGGCTGCTGGCGAAGAGGACACGAACACTAGCCGAGACGATGCTACAGTGCTCCCTTCTACGACCACGACTTCTGCTGACGACAGCGACGAAGAGGAAGACAGTGACAATACAACAACACGATCGACAACCGCCACCGAAGAGGACGGAGAATTCGTGTTTGGAGTTTGCATGCTGTCTCCTTGCTGGATTCCTGGCAGATCCACGCCGGTGCTTCACCCAATCAGGGGTAGCTGTGGCTTTTCATCCAAATTTTCCGGCCAAGGTTCAAGGGACATAGATTCTAGCCCATAAGAACATGACCGTGCGCACCGCTTGCCCAGTGTCAGGAGGAATCAACCACAACCGCACGGACAGCCTCACGAACCGTCTCGACCACTTCAACGAAGTCCTTCTCCACCAGCGAATCGACAGACGACAGCGACTAGATTTCTCGATAGTCGTTCCTTCGTTTGCAGAAGCGGTTCTTCGAGATCACGTTGTGGGACCCAGGTGACAGTGATGATAGCGATGGCGCAAACCAGACATCTTCCGAGGAGGACCCAATGCAAACAAAAGTCAAACCTTCGGATGTCATCCACCAATGATTGAGGTAGGGCCTTTGCCCTTCGCATCGCATGTCAGCGCATGTGTAGACGGCGGTCGATGGCAGGAGTACACATATTCAACGACTTCGTCAACTACCTGGGACGAGGTGGATACGGATCCTGAAACAGTCACTGAGCTGCACTGACGTCGCAGGCGCGTGCACGGCAGATTCTCGCCATGGGACACAGTCAGCAAGCCCCAAACATCCGCAGCTGGAAAGGCCTAAACTTCCGTGCCGAGCTGTCACATCCCCCTGCTGGAATAACTCGTCTCCGTAAGGGTAATTTACCACAAACTCATAATACGTGGGAGCAGCCGCGAGCATATAAGGACCAGCAAACAAACGTGTCAAACATGTCCTCATCCCAGTCAAGCGTCAAGTTGTAGCCACCCCAAGCCCAACAACTGTTTTCGGTTCAAGTCCGATGCAGGAACTCCTGTCAGGAGTTCTTTCGCATCATCCAGCTTGAGACCAAAATAGTTGTTAGGCTTCAAGAGATCCACTCAGGGTGGCAACTTGAGCTGGTGGAACGAAACTGCCAGAGAACTGCGAAGGCTGTCCTCAGCACCTCTGTGGCCTGGCATCTCAGGTTTGTTACACCGTTTGGTAGCTGGCATACGAGAGGGGTTGAGCGGTGACTTTGCTGGTATTGCCAGGCTGATTGAAAAACTGGTCAGTCGACAGTTCGCTAATGCGGTAAGCTTCCCAAAAAGCGTTGTTTTTGTCTACTGCACCCCCACGACGACGGCTACGAGGACGAATATCACCACGAGGACGACGACCTTCTGCTGCTACTGCCTTTGCTACGACTACTACGGATGCTCCTGCTACTACCACTCATACTGGTACTACTACCACTACTACTACTACTACTACTACTACTACTACTGCTACTTCTACTGCTACTACTAGTACT